TGATGCGCAGTAATGGACATCTATTTTGGAAAGAAAAATATTAATATCACTCTTTTTGTCATTCTTTTTGTCACTCTCTATATTCACTGTTTGACGCGTGGATTCTACTATATCATTTTTTATTCAAGAATAATATATCAAGTTAGTAGAGTTTACATGTCAAACAGTAAATATAGAGAGACAAAAAAATGGCTAATGTCTCCGATACTTGTAAACCATAAGAAATCGATGGAAGTCCGCATCATGAGAACTAATATAGCTTAGTTTCTTAGTTTTCATGTTATATTATATATTAGCTCATGTACCAGCATTTGTCGCTTGTAATGTAACATTTTTTTCATTTTTGTAAGGAGTAGAATATCTTTCATGTAGCAGAAACATTTTTTTTTCCCTAAATTGTAATTGTTATCTCTAATTTCAAGAGTTTATAGAGAGTCATATCAACTTAGTTGTGTTGCACATTTGCAGGGCCCCTGCTCTTTTTATAATTGTTTTTTCTTGTGAGAAAATTACCATTACTCTTATTTTATATCATCCTATTATTATGCCATTAAAAAAATGTTCTAATAGAATACAAAAGATATCCTAATCACAAAGATTATTTTAATAAAATACAAAAGATATCCTACTAGAATACTGATGTCATAATGATAATTTTGAAATTGGTAACATAAATAAAATAGTGTCATCTTTTTATTTGACATCTTTGAAAATTTCTCTTTTCTTCTTTATTAGGTAGATATTCCGAAAGTTGTTCCTAAGCAACATTTATTTGGTATATATTTTCAAAATTGACTCTCATGATTTGGAAATGTTCTCATTTTTCTGAAAACGGCCAAAACTTTTTTTGCTTTCTATGGCTTCTCAATATTGTAATATTTTTTTTGATACAACACGAGATTAAACCCGCAACCCTACCTCCAATCTTACGATATCATTAGACCAAGCGGTCTTAAGGTCAACATTGCAATATTAAATAGCTAATATAAAAATATTAATAATTAGTTATTAATAATTAATTAAGTTATTAAAATTCATTATTAATCAATAATTTTATCGTCTAAATAATTTGTAAGATATATATTAATTGCAATATAGTAAGTATTGGTAATTAAGATACTAATTATTTTTGGAAATTATCATGTTCGCGTTTTGTGCTTTTTTATTATGATGAAAGGACCCAGATTGGTAATGGAAAATATCAAATCAAACCATTTTAATTTCGATTATGATACGATGATATCCCAAGGTGTAGCTTTGAATGGCGTTTCTGACACAAATTAATTGACATTAATTAACTGAAAAAAAAAAGTGGGGGAAAGACATATGAATACATGTTCAGCTATTCTGTACAAAAACCATCAATCCCAATTTGTACCAAATAAAAAACAATAATTAGACCTCAGGGACCATCAACAGTTTCTAACGGTTTCATTGTTTATATAAATAAAATATATTGTTCTTATTCTAGCAAAAAAAATATATTATTCTTGCTAATACTTGCGTAAGAAGGTATATTACTTGCGTAAGAAGGCATATTCCTAAAAATAAAACTATGAGTATAAAATCCTACTGACCCAAAAAAAAAAAAACACGAGCAAATATATATATATATATATAAATATATTATTCTTACTAACACTTGCCTAAGAAGATATAAGTCTTAGTTAATTCGAGTTTTTAATTTGATATGATTTTATGTGAATTTTTTACTGTGATAAAAAAGTTAAATATGATTATTTTTTAGCATTTTTTACTATAACAAAACTCAAATCGGTGAAATAAACAGAACTAGAGGAGAAAACTTCTAACGGCATACTGATCTAAATAATACATGTGTTTTTGAATAAAATAAAATATTACGAAATTTTACAATAGGCATTGAAAAAACTGCCTGCATATTTTTTTTTATGTGATTTGAGCGGATTTAACAATAAAAATAATAGGACTTTCTCTAATAGTATTTATAAAAATAAATTATTAATAATTTTTAATTTTTTAATCATCAAATTTATATTAAAATTTATCTGTTATGTATATCTTTTTAATTTAATATAATTTTAATTAAATTTAACGGTTAAAAATTAATATTACAGTAAGACGGCGGACTTTTGGAAAAACTTCTAAAAATAAAACTGTATAAAATCCTACCGTAGAATGACCAAAAAAAAGAAAAAAAAAAAACACGAGCCTTCGCAAAGAAGTCAATTTTGCGAGTCCAAATCCTCACGAGTTTATTATCAGCAGCCAACAAAAAAGACCATATGTGGCCACGTACCAAATTCATCCCCTTAAATGACTTGGACAAAGGAAGCATCTTAGAATATGCCAAGAAAATGGGACAACATATTAAGACACTGTTGGGAAACCACTGCATCTCAAAAGCTTAAATTTATGAGAGATGGATCAACAATAGTTTTAACACTCTCCCTCACGTGTGGGCTGGACAATGGGCAATCGTGTGGGTAAATTAATTGGAAAACCCAACACGTGAATATTTAAGCCCGAGATATATTAAAGACCCAACACGTGATGACAATTTAAATGGGGATAAAGAGTGTAATTACGGGGGTTTGAACTCAGGACCTCCCGTTCTGATACCATATTAAGACACTATTGGGAAACCACTACATCTCAAAAGCTCGAACTTGTGAGAGATGGGCTAACAATAGTTTTAACACTCCCCCTCACGTGTGGGCTGGACAATGGGCAATCGTGTGGATAAATTAATTGAAAAGCCCAACACGTGAATATTTAAGCCCGAGATATATTAAAAACCCAACACGTGATGACAATTTAAATGGGGATAAAGAGTGTAATTACGGGGGTTTGAACTCAAGACCTCCCGCTCTGATACCATATTAAGACATTGTTGGGAAACCACTGCATCTCAAAAGCTCAAACTTATGAGAGATGAGCCAACAATAGTTTTAACACAACATAAAAAACCAAAATATCATTTTACTTTTTCTGGTAAAAATAAAAATAAAAATAATTGTTAAGTGTTCTTGCTCACCAAGCAAAACCCAATAATTTACTTGGTCTATAAATAAAGAATCACATTTCCTTTCTCATTATTTATTCTCTTTTTTCATTCGAATACATTGGTTGATATTACAACTTGATCATCACCAAGAAATTACACAAAGAAGATCCTTACAATGGCTATTTTCTCTTCCTTCTTCAACTGCTTCGCGCCTCCGTCGTCGTCGTCGTCGTCGTCGTGTCGGGTGTCGGATGATCACGGAAAAAGTACTGATACTTCTGAGAAGAAAGTGGCACCCAATGATTTGAAGAAAACCAAGAGCAAGTCTTCCAAGTCCTCAAAAGCTCCTATTGTCGTTTCTTACTTCCCAGTCAATTCATATCCCTCTCGCCTATAGTATATGGCCTTCCAATCATTGAAGGCCAAACATTGGAAGATGATCTTATGGAATTTAGCAGAAATGCACGTTGTCGTTTTTTCTGGAAATAGTGTCCTTGAGCTTGCTGGTTTTTTTAAATAAATTAGTCATGTATTCCTTGTATATGTATTTTTTTTAAAATTGTTTTCTCCTTCATGTACTCCGATTTATATATTTTTATTTAATTAATTTATCCCTTTTGTTTTTTATTAGATTGTCTTGTGTTGGAATTTTCATCATCTATCCATTCCAGATTACGCAGAGTCATCGGTGCTCAGACGAGTGACTCTGACCATCTAGTGATCGGTGTTGGGGGTGACCACCAATCATCGAAATCATACTTTGTAGTTTTGCTACATGTGATTGCAGGTGACCGTTGGTCATCCACCAAGTGACTCCGTCAAGTCCTATATTGTACACGCCAAGTGAGGAACCATCACCCATATTGTTAGTACCGGTCACTCCCATAGTAACTTCGGAAACCAATCTAATTCGGTGACCTCGTCAACGACTGGTGCCAGCCAACGTTGTGACATGAAAAATAGAGAATGTAACTAATCAAGTTTAGAATAACTTTGGCCTTCGGAGAAAAATAAAAGAAATCAAGTTTAGAATAGGGTTTGCTTTGGTCTCTACAGAAAAATAAAAGAAACTAATAGGATTGAAATTTATTACAAAAAAACTTAATATCTACCAAGATAGAGCAACATTCATTGTTAGTTTACTCAAAAATTTGTGAACACACTAGCTGCCCAACCGAACCCCTCAACCGCAGACCCGATTTCCGTAACCATACACGCCGGTGGTTTTTGGTTACGGGATTTTTCTTAAAAACCGACCGTCGCCCGCCCAACCTAACCATTGTGCAACCCTACTAGCTGGTAGCATTTGCAGTAGTGTACATCTCCCCTTCAAAATGTAAAAGAATAAGGACCAATTATTCTGTTCGTCTTATTCCATATACAGAAGCAAACACTAAGATATGGTAAATTTAAGATCCAGAATAGTGAGATCAGAAACTGTAGTCTCCAAAACGGTAAAGGACAAAACACGGATTATTGATTCAGCTCTGAGTGGTTTCGTTTGTATGCGAAACACTCACGTGAACCCAGTTTCTTCAGTTTATAATAATATCAATCATTTAACCACTTTCCATACCCTGTAACTGGAGCCCGTTATAAAAATAACTTAATAGGAAAGTTTTTTTTGTAAAATAAATTTCTAAAAATTTTTATTTATAAAATAACTGTAACTACTAGGAACGACTACTTTTTACCAAAAAATGATTGGGTGAAAAAAGTTATTTTGTCATTTTACTTTGTTGGATAGTCACTTTAGTAAATTCTCACTGTATCTGTGTGAACGTGAAGGATTAGTGAGAGAAAAAAAATAAATAAATAAATAAATAAATAAACTGCCAAGAAAATCCATGCCCATTACTGTTTGTGAGCGGTCTTCAGTCTTTTCTCTTTTTCATATCAGCAACAGAAACCACTGGCTTGAGACATGTCTAATCTTACTTCTCAAACATGTTTTCATAACCCCTTAATCAATAATTCACCCTCTCTCTCTCATCATTTTGAAATTCTAGTTGGTTTTATATATATTATTGTGTTTCCACCATAATTTCCTTCATAAAGGAAAAGCAAGTTCTCTTCTTTCCAACTGTCGATGAAGACAATGAGATCTTTGGGCATCATTTTCTTCTCCCTCCTTATAGCACTCGTGTATTTTTCTTCCCAAAACATCAGCTCTTCTTTGTCTCCTCCGAATTTTCTCCCGAAAGCAAGACAACCTCCGAGAAAACTGCGCGTTTCATCATCCGCTCTTGTTCATGAACACCGAAAGCTCGAGGTTGGTTGTGTCTCAACTTCCTGAGTAAATCTTTTGGAGCTTTTTTGGCACTTGGTTTTACTTGTAATATTTCCATGTTGTATAATCTTTATACTGTGGTGCGCTTATAACTCACTTCCTAGTAAAATCACAAGTGGGTTCTGCTCTAATGCAGGTTACTGATGAAGATTTAAAAACATCAATATCTGAAGAAATCTCCACAGAAAACAAACATGAAAAAAGCGGTGACAGCATAGATGAAGTTGTTTATCACATTGATTATCATGGGGTCACAACTCATCCAACTCCAACACCCAGACATCCCAGACCATAGAATGTAACTCGTCGAGAAAATAGTTGTTACTAAGAGTTACTATAGTTTAAGAAAAATTGAGAAATCATATATGTAATGAGTGAGATATGTATTTGAGAAAATTTGTTTTTATGATGTCCCTGAAGTATCCTACTCTAGTACTCTGTATTAATGATTCCTTTTAGCTCATAAGTTTTGTAACATGTATGCTTAACTACAACATTATGCAAGTTATAGTGACATATTTGGCTACTTCTAAAACAGGAAAAACTAATGAAATTACTTTTGGAGGCTCTAAAAGTTGTTCGTACATAGCATGACGTAACATGATGCACATAGTGTAGTAAAAGTGCGTAAAAGTACTTTGCACAGATACCAATACACTTCTACAGTAATTTAAAGAAACTAGATTCTTTTTTCAATATTATAAAAAAAAGTATTCATGATTGGCAATGGAGTGAAATCATTCCGTTTGTATATTGTTTTCTTACCTTTCTATACTTCTCAAGCAGCATCCTATAGCTCTGCTTGACATCGTCAAATGATATCTCACAACAAAACCTAGACTTTACCTGCATGAAAGCAGCCTCCAACTCGCATTTGTATCGAACTGATAATTGAAACAGTTCCTCAGTTCCCCTAAAAGGAATATTCCAATCAAGCCTTTCAAAATTTCTGCCGCTCAAATCAAGATTCCGAAGCCATCTTATCCGCTGAAAGAGATCTTCATTTTTCTGAGTTGCGGTTTCCACATTCCTCAGGGCTTCTGTGAATTTTGATTTGGCATTTACTTGATCAATCAAATGGCAGAAGAGTTTCCGCTGGTTCAGGTCAAGCCAACCATCGGAACGTGATGGTGGAGACGTTGCAGCAACCAAACAAGCTTTTCGAAAGATTGGATCAGAATTGCCAATCAGGCTAATAGCAATATGCAACAAAGCCACAGAAACATCAAAAACAATTCCAGCTGAACACTTGGACCGTTCTTGTCTCTGGTTCCAATAACAAAGTGCAATATGGACAAATCCCTCCCATCTATGAATCAAAGAATGAAAAAGAGAGAGTGAATGTGAGGGTCAAATGCAAAGATATTTACATTTCAACGAAATTTTACAAACTTAACCGTGTCACTCTATATGTTCCGATCTCTAACACTCCATTTGGTTAGAATGGGAAAAAAGAAAAGACACATAACACATAAGAGATAGAAAATTGGAATGATAAAAAAGGATATTAGTTTTCTTTAATGTTGTTTGGTAGACAGGAAAACAAAAAGAAAATGCATATTTTTACAATTACTATTTAGCAATCTACCATTATTTCACTGTGGAAATGAAGACAAAAAAAAAAAGTAATTTTGCTCATCATATTTGGCTCCAAGTTGTCCACTAAATAATCCATCCACCATTGGAAGGATTGAAATTTCTAGGGCACACTACACCTTGATCTGCCTCATTTTCTTTTCCCTCCCTTCCTTCATACTAAACAAGCTACCCTATCCTTCTCTGCCTCATTCTTTTCCCTCCCTTCCTTAATATTTTCTAGAGTTCAATATCCTACGAAATTTCTAGGGCACACTACACCTTGATCTGCCTCATTCTCCCAACTTCCATTCTTCATCTTTTCTATCCTACCAAACATAATGTAATACTTGGATACAAAAGTCGTATAGATCACTCAAGCTTAGTGTAATCTGATAACTTAATATTATCTAGAGTTCAATATCCTACGATATTGTTTTCATCTTACTCTTGATTATAATTGACATTCGAATTAGAGATCGTTTCATGGGCATTAGCATGTCGGTATTGACTGTTTTGAGATATTGACAGCGAGTTATCAATATCTTGACAGCAGGGTTTTGTTAATTATAAATAGAGAGAGAGAGAGAGAGAGATTGACAGCAAGTTACTATTACGAATCTTGATTGTAGCAATCATTGATGCCTACCTCACAATGACCAAAAAAAGTCACATCCATGCATCCACTTTTCAAGAGACATGAGGTCCAAAAAAGTTTGACTTTTGGTCTCCTAAAATTATAATTTTGCTCAAGATATTTGCAGCATCTCACATGTATTATGGAGTTTCCATCTTTACCGTATTGGGTTCTGACAATTGGCTTTTTTTGTTCAAAGGACAGTATGGATATGAGGAGGAAAAGTGATTGTCAATGAAGTTATATAGCATCATATCCAAATAACCTTTGTTCTATAAAGTGAATCAAGAGAATACTATTGAAAGACAAACAGACCAGAATCACCATTACAAACCAGAATCACCATTCCAAACACACACACAAGCACACATACATATATAGAGACTGAAAAAGGGGAGAGAGAGAGAGAGAGAGAGATGGATATGAAACGAAAAAACATCATGAAATCAATAATCAATAAATAAAAATAAAATAAAGATTCAATTCCTGTGCATATTAACCATAAAATTAAAACACAATAGGACTTTGAAGTTTAATGCATAATGGGCAATGTCTGAGAATCACGCAAGCAATGTCTATTTAGGATACTATCATGATAACAGTGGTACTAAATTAGATTTAGTCCTCAAATCTGTACACATCAGAATATCTTGAAACTCGCCGTAATTACAGGTATCTTTGTTTTATGCAAATCATGCACTTTACCATTTTCTGAGGCTGTCACTCTTAGGGGTTAGTGTTCATAACAAAACAAAAAAACACATTTTCAGCAGAAAATAGATAAATATGTGTACATATCATAATAATATTTTCCATGACTAACATGACAGCTACCCATTCTACCAAAATTTTTCCGCTCGATGACAACATGACTGGCAGATCAGTTACATCCATATTTCCATCCTCATAATATGCTGCACGTACACTATTGGAAAGAATCATTGCCCTTCATACGATAAAAAAAGTCATTTAAAAAAAATAAAGTAGAATTAGAATCCATTTGTTTGACAGATTCTCACATGAAATGAAAGCATTGGTGGGTAATGTGTTACATTCGAATGAAGATAATCATCAATGGGCCACCCAACTTAGCAGAAAACTAATCAATTTGCAACACATATTATAAAAAAATAATAAAAAATAAAAAAACCGTGAACATAAATATGAGTTTAGGTTAGGAGGAAATCAGATGAAAATTTTGTGGTTATACTTCTAGATAATGAAAACATGTTTCTAGATTTTACCTTCAACTTTCACCTACTAAGAAACAAGCAATTTGAACAACGATAATGGCATTTGATATTTTTTCAGGGCCCTGTACACCACCACCAAACAAACTCGCCCTACGTGGGCTTAGATATGTCCAACCTATCTGAAGTTCTTTTAGGACTAGAGAAAAACGAGGGGAAAAAAAGTGTCCCATAGAACCCTAACCTATGAAAGGTAAAAATACCTTCCGTCCCCATCTCAACAATACTAAAGAAATTTCTTTTTGGTATGTGATAGAATTTTAAAAGGCTGCATAAAAGTGAATTTCTAAGTTAAAATAGGAAAACACTACCTAGCATAATAAGATCATAGCACATGTTGAGCAGGCATCTAGCTAATCTATATCCCTCGATTATATTTGCCTCACTACAGATGCAATTCTATTCAGCGCCAGGATTGCTCAGCACCACAAGCTTTTTTCCCAATCATACGATTCTTAGTACAGAATGTGAATTTGACATGCCGCGCCCACGGTGCCATACAGTGTTTAGCCAATTAGTGGTGTCCTGGTCAACAGATTTTTGTCTAATGATAACTAGGAGATGTGTTTTTAAAATTAACTAGGTACAAATTACAGTGTATCCTACAATAAAGACTACTACATAACAACTTCTTAACAGAAGTAAATAACACGCATATTAATGTCTACAGGAAAAGAAAAATCACATTATTTCATGGCAATAACAGTTAACGATAAATATTAAAAGACATGGCATTACAGGCAATATATTGGGGAAATAAATATGATGTTAAGAGTATAGTTTTTACTTACTCAAAAGGGGGCTCAACCTCAATTCCAAAAGTGAGGTGCAAGGAATATCCAGAGGAAGCGGTGGCCGGTTCAGTATATGCTTCATGAAGAAAGCCTCTGGGAACATACAGAATATCGCCTTGAGTCAACGTGAACTGTTCACGTCCAGATACCAAACTATCAACTTCAGAACATAGTGGGTTGGGAAGAGGATTGTACAAGCGAGGTAACTGTAAGTTTGACTGCGAGAAGACTTTCCATTTCTTAGTCCCAAAAAGCTGGCATACAAACACACAATGGTCATCGTAGTGCCGTGCCAAGCCTTGAGAATCCGGGGGTGTCAAGTACATATTGGCACCTACGGATGGTTGACCGAATAGAGATGCTAATCCATCTGCAATAGCAGCGATTGTACTAAATCGGAACTCCATACCACGTAAAGCAACTGTGTAGCCCTCTCTAAATGCTTCTTCACATTTCGAAATGTCATCAAGATTAAAAATATGAGAATCCTCTGCAAAATGAGACTCTAAAACAAAAGGAAAGAAATGCTCCTCTTTTTTCAACTGCCCTTTTGTTCTTAGAACTCGTAGGTCTTGTTGGTAGATTACACGACAACCTAGTTTATGTCTCGCCTCCTTCAAGAAACTTAGGATGTCTAGTTCATCTGAAGCAATAGGAAGACAAGAAACCATAATCTGAAGGATAGAAGAAAGAAAAGAAGGAAATGTTTCGGTAGTATTTAGAGATTGCAAAAATGCGTTAAAAATATTATCTCTCTCAAATGAAGCCCCAGAAAGTCTCCCTACAATAGAGGGTGACACCTCCCAAAGATTTAACATGAAGTCTTCGAAACCGGAATTGCTCAGACCAAAAATACCTCTTTGAACCATGTCCAATGGCAAAGGCACAAAAAGTCGGTCATCACTAACAGAAAGCCTAAAGACACTTTCTGCCAAAGCCTCAATTTTAAAATTGCTAATATTAAAAGGTCCCTCTTCTTGGCTGCATTTCATAGTATTTAAGGATAACATTGTTCTATGCACTTGAGCCCACATATCAGTTAGAAAGACCAAGAAAGCTTCAGATAGTTTTCTCGGGATATTTTCCAATTGTTCAATGTTGCAGGCGTTAATCAAATGCGTTGCTGCCTTAAGAAGTGATGCTGGATGCTCATCTCCTTTAAGTCCTATATTTGGACAGTTAACACTTCCACTATCCACAACGCATAGAGATACTGAAACTGTTGAAGAATTAAGAAGCTGAAAGAAGCGAAATCTAAGGAATGTAAAGTTAATTCATCCAAAATTAAGAACCAAAATGTTAAAACAACTATCTTAGAAATAAATCGCAATACCAATAAGGGTAGAAAACAAATCAAAAGGCACAAAAATTCTTAATCACGACCTTTCTCATGACTTTTACTCTTAAAATGAAAATTATTTGCATGAGACAAACGATACATAAACATAATGAAAAGTTGAGAAGACCCAAAATCAAGTTCGACTCATTGTACCTAATTTGAGAAAAAAGTGACTGTCACAAAAGTTCCCAAATCCTATTTCCATGCTTAGTTGAGCGAGCAAAAGCGGAAATAAGGAAGATTTATTAAAATCTAACAAATAAATAGAGAATGTTCTCTGGTCTAGTACATATTTCCTACCAACTGCCCCGGCAGTGATAACAACACCTATGACTATCTGATAAGACTACTTCTCTTTCTTAGTATGTTGAAAATTGAAAATTTCTTTTCTTAAGTGGTACATGAGAGTTTTATCATACAGTCATATTTTCATCATACTTCAACATTGTTTTATCTTTCAACGTTTTACCTTTTTGTTTCTTTAACTCCTTTAACATCATTTTCATTAAGTTAAAACTTGGAAAAATCATCAACTAGAGTCAAACTCTCCAATGTGTTTTGTTGTTTCATTTTCACTTGGCTATATATGCATCATTTGTAAAGTCACAAAATTAGTTAAAAAAATGCTAATTTAAAAACTCATACAATTTGATTCCCATAAAAATTAACAAATCTGTGACAAGTTCTAGCGGGCACTTCCTAAAAGTTCATATTAACGTTTCAAGAGTCTTCTTTTATTAAATAAAAAAATGGAAGAGCAAAAAGAAGTGAAAAGAAAAGGGTCCCAGAAACACTCACATAAGAACCTCAAGCGCGCAGAAACTCAAGAGACGTTGACGTCCAACACAAGTAATACACAAATCCAAAACCGCATTACAGGCAGCCATGGAAACTCTCCTGTTGGAGCGCCCCAAAGCCGAGACCAAGGCCCTCACCGTCTCGTCATCCAATGCGACTCGCTCGTTCACCTCCAACGACTCCAGCGCCGCCGCCCCCACAATCTCCGCGCCGCGAGACGCCACTCCTGAACACCTGCAATGCAAAAACATTAATGACCGCAAAGTGTTTGACAAAATGCCGCAAAGAAATTGGATGGAGAACTACTTGGAGCGCAAAAGGGTCGGAAGAAGAGAGATAATGGGGTCGATTGGCGGGTCTTGATCGAAAGAGAGACGGAGTTTGTATAAGCATTTCTTGAGTAAGGGAAGATTGGATTTAGGGTGTTTGTGGAATGCGTGGAGAGACGATATTAAGAGGCCGAAAATGGTGTTGAAGGTGGAGTTGAAATCGGATTGGAGGTGAAAGTTTTGGGCTTTCTTTTTCTCTGGTTTTCTTTTTCGGGTTTTGCAGTGTGAGGTTGTACTTGGCCTTCCTTGCTTCTTCTCCATTTCTGATTTTCTCTGATTCTGTCGTGTGTTGAGTGTAAACTATGAAAGCATGCAGAAACTAGTTCAGCCGTTGAGCAATGAGCACTTTTTGATGAACTAAAAACACTTTCTTTCTCTTTTTTATTTTTTATTTTTTTCCCTTTTCTATTTTCCATTTAATAGTATTTTGAGTAATTACTCATTCGATCCCCGAACTGTTTGTGCTATGCTTATTTGGTGTGATGATTTAAACCGAATTAGGATTCAAATTTTGTAAGAGAAAAGATTGTAGTGTGCGTTTGGTAAATATATTTAAATTTATAATTCTAATTTTATACAAATTTAAATTTAAAAGGTTCTACTAATGGTTGTCTCATAAAATTTTTATTAATGAATTAGAATTACTAACTTGAGTGCATGAGCTAAACAGGTCCTTAAATTTTTTATGAGAGAAAATACTGTTTGAACCAAAACTATGGTAGTTTGTAAAAAAAGAAATTAAATATTTGTATTTGTATTTTAATCATACTTGCATTTATCTAGTTTCCTAGTTTAGATTTTTCCTAGTTTAAAGAAGGAAATATTCTTTTATTTGAATTTGATTTGACTATGAAACTATCCTAATCAAATCTTGTAAACTTTGTATATGTTCTCATTATCACTCAATAGCAAGACTATGCCATATTTTTCAAACTTATATGATATCAGAGCAGCAAGTTCCTAGACCCAATCTCCCTCTCTTCTAAAATCGCCCTCTTTCAAATCCTAGCCGTCATCCACAATCGGCCGACCGGTTCTTTTATAACGTTACTGCCTCCAATTGACCTTCTCCCCGTTGCTATCAAATTTTTTCCTTTCTCATGGTTGACAAAAACACCGAAATCATCATTCCCAACAAATAAGAATCCACCAAACCTCTTATAAACATAAATTATCCTCCTCTCATCACATTAAACTCACCCCATCAATAATCTCTCATGGAAACTTCAATTCTATACTACCACCTCTCAGGAAGCCTGGACCATACTTGTCATACTTATGCTAAACCCTCTCGAGGTCACATTAAGCAAATTAAAGAGCAACTCAAGCATGCCACAAAAGGATCAAAGAGCATTTTTTAATACAAGCAATTTATTTGTAATCGTGCCAATGAACTTGGCATTCTAGGTAAACCTTATGATGAAGAGGACCTTATCCAAAAGATTCTTGATGTTCTTGATGATGGTTACAAGGCTATTGTTTATGTTGTAAATGATCGGGAACCCCTAATATACTTTGATGAACTTCATGAAAAACTCATCAATAAGAAACTCTCTTCGACACACTCTAAGTCATCGCCTCTGCCAATTTAGCGGCTCCTCAAAACAAGAACTGGCTCCCATCCACCTCTCCTTAAACCAACTCCGCCTCATCTTCCAACGCCAGGCTGCACACGCTGCACCTCATGACAACTGCCCCCATCACGACCATATTTTGGGTATCATCAAACTTATGGTGTTTAAGGCCACATTGCCAAGCATTGTCTGACCTTCACCTTGGTCACCTCTCAACCATCGGTACCTCGCCTACCTGCTCCATGGCTTCCTCGCTCTCAAGCACAATGGCAACTGCGAGCCAACTTTATGGCGGCCACCACAATTCTCACTCCCGACTGGCTTCTTAATAGTGGCGCATCCCACCATGTCACTTCCGAATTGAACAATTTCTCTCTCCATACACCCTGCGACAGACCTGACGATGCTATGATCGATGATGGCACGGGCCTCTAGATCACCCATGCCAGTTCCACTTCTCTTACTACTCTATCCCATACATTTACATTAAATAATGTCTTATGTGTTCCTATTATGTGTTCCTACTATGCAAAAGAATGTTATATCTATTTCTCAATTTTTCTTAACTAATCATGTCACCATTGAATTCTTACCCAATGCTTTTCATGTAAAAGATCTTCATACAAGGCAATCATTTTGCGGGGGCGGACTAGAGATAGTGTGTACAAGTGGCCGATCTCTTCTATCAAGTTAACTCCTTCATTGTTTTTTCTAATGTCAATACCACATTGTCCGAGTGGCACTATAGATTAGGTCATCTTGCTTTTTCAATTCTTAAGCATATTGTTACCAATTTAAGTTTAGGTCTATCGAGTCCGTTATATCTACTTTTGAATTGTAATGATTGCTAATGCAATAAAAGTCACAAATTATCTTTTTCTACTTTTTCATTTGTTTCTTCTCACCCTTTATAAATTATTTTCTATGATGTATGGACGTATCTGATATACTCTCTTGAGGGCTTTAAATATTATGTTATATTTGTTGATTATTTCACCAAATATATACGCTATTACCCTCTCAAAAGAAAATCATATGTATTCAATGTTTTTGATCGCTTCAAAGCCTTGGTTGAGAATTTCTTTCGACGCAAAATCATCACTTTCTACTCCAACAATGGTGGAGAATACCAAGCCTCAGATAACTTCCTTTCCACCAACAGTATCTCTCGCCTTATACCCCTCCACATACACCTTAACACAATGGTTACTCTAAGAGATGCCATCGACCCTCCCCACCAGTCGATCAAACACCACATAACGTCTCTACCACTAGTCAACTGAACACTATAGCTCCACCACCCACAATAAGCCCACCACCCACATTGTCTGAACCCAGCCATCAACATCCATATAGCCTTCATCACTACTCATTCAACCTCCCTCATCAACCCTACCACCAACCCTTTCTCCCCTACCCACTAATACCATTATGACAAGTTCCAAAATAGAGCTGTAAGCTTAGGCCGAGCTAAGGTTTCGAGGCCAAATGTTTATTCAGGCTAGGCAAACGTCATCTTTTTAAAGATTTTTTTTTTTAAAAATACCTCATAAAATTTCAGGCCAGGTCGAGACGACCCTAAGCCTTTAGGGCTTCAGGGCCAAGTTAGGCTGTCCCTCTCCCATTTAGGTCCGCCCTGACCTGAAATTTCCATTCTGGTTGCTGGAGCATGACGAGGTCAGGTCAAGTTATTACTGAGGATCAAGGATTTAGTTCGAAAATGGTACCACAATGAGGGTTATACACGTGTGAAAGTTTTGAATTTCATAGTTTAATTTCTTTCTTTTGTTCCTCTTCTTTCTCCCTCTCTTTTCGTTCTTTTTTCTACTGCTTCCGCTCCTCCCCCCATTCTAACCTTATAGTGCGCCTATGCAGCAACTTCCTTACCTCTGCACCTTCCTTCAATAATTGACGGGTTATGGCGTGCTTCCGTTCATAGGTCCAGTCGATGTTTTCCTGAATGTCATCTTGTCGCCTCTCTTTTTTTCTTTACAACATTCTTCTTCTAGGGTGGGCTTAACTTGCTCGATTTGGGCTCTTCTTCCGGCGAACAATATTTAGCTGTTCCAATATTTGCGACAAATGCTTTTTGTTTTTTTATTAAATTCTAATAATACTTTAGCAATCGGCCCCTTCTTAGCATATGTCTTGCATAACCCATTAGTAGATGGGAAAAACGCATAAAGTGGTTATTGTTATAAAAGTTGCATGCATGAGCATTTAAACTTTTTACTTATGAGCATCTCTATGCATCTAATCAAACAAACTAAAAACGCGGTAAATGGATATTAATATTAAATTTTTATAAAATTATATAAAATGGCAAACATAAGCGTTTGATTTGACTTTTCTAATATTTGCAACAAACACATTTTGTTTTTTATTCAATTCTAAACTTCTTTACGTAATCAGTCTCATCTTACCATATATCTTGTAAGCCCACTAGTGAGTAAGGATAACACATTAAGTGGCTTTTGATATGAAAGTGGTAGGCACGAGCATTTAAACTTTTTGCTTATAATCATCTTCATGTATCTAATCGAACAAATAAGAGAAGTTGTAAATGCATATTAACATTAAATTTTTATTAAAGGGAAAATGCACCAAATAGCAGCTTTTTCAGGTATGTTTGAAGTATATAACATATTTTTTAAAAGTTAGTACATAATAGCATGTTTTAAGTTCTGATTATGAAAATAAATCATATTTTCAAATTTACTCTTTCATTAAATTTGTAAATGAACAACGAAAAAGAAGAAGTTGAGTCAGACTCTGATAGTAGCACTGATGGAGAAGACCTGACTGATGATGCAATTCAGGAAGCATACAAAACCATGTTTAATAAATGGGTTAAAGTGTACAAACTGAATAAGTCCTTGGAGGATCGTGTAGGCGAACTTCTCAGAGAAAAAAAAGTCTTGAAAATAGCTGTTGTAAATTTTGAGTTTTAGGTTGCTGAAAAAGAGAAGAAGTTACAAGAATTGAATCTTGAAATGAAGCATACTCAAAAGACTATAAAGATGATGAATTCCGGTACTTCTAAACTGGACCATATTTTGTCTATGGAAAAGCTAGCAGTGATCATCACGGCCTCGGATACACTGGAGAATCCTCAACATCCAAGATTGTATTGTGAAGGAAACAACTCCTCAAGAATCATGGCCTACAATCAGTAAGAGTCTTTCTGATTCACAGTTCTAACGAAAAAGATTTATTCTCACATGTCATTATTGTAACCATTCGGGACACATTACAAATACTTGAATGATTTGAGGAAATGTTTACTTTTTAATCCACCAAATTCCACAGGAAGGACACCTAGAATGAAGATTGATGTGCACAAAAAATTTCCTCGTCAAGTGTGGGTAAGAAAATCCAATTTAAAGTGTCATGTGGCATACACTTCTTTAAAAGCATGTACTACTGACTTGGGGTAGAGTGATGGTGGTTGCTCCAAGCATTTGACAGGTGATAAAAGTTATATGCATGGGAGAATTTTACATTCAGGAGAAGTAAGATGGAGAGAAAATTCAAAAGCTCAGTGAATTCAGAAGTTTTCTGCAAGAAAGTGTTGCACTGAGTGTTTCATAAGTTGTTGCAACATTTTCTGCGACAACAACTTTAAGAAGTTATTTTTGTATTTATTTTCTTTGGCTTTTATTTTTGTCAAAAAGAGGGAGAACTCTGTAAACATTATTTTCAATTTTTGAATTTCTTGTTGAAGAGGTTTTTTTTTTTGTTGC